AATAAAGGACATCATAATGCTGAGTTGCCGGTCACACCAACAAACTAGGGGAGGAGCAGTTGTTGGTGACAGCTAGGGAGTGGGTGGATTTATAACACTGACATTAGAGCATCAGGTAAGAAAGAAGTGGATAATGGATTTATAACTGACGAGACCGTCAGGTACTTAAGGAGATGACTGGACTCACAGGTGGATAAGGGTTGGACTCCTAGTCAAAAAGCAATTCCTGGTAGGAAAGTGAAATAAGGTCGATGAAGGGTGGATAACTGATAAAAGCATACATTTAAAAACCACACACCATATGTTAATTAACACACTTTTGTATTTACTTAGTTTATGAAGATATTAAATTTTTTGCAGTCATGTTAAATATGTGCTGATATCAAATTTTCATGTCACGATTCTCGGTTATGTCATAACACAAGCTCTTAATCACTGTTTTTTATTCTATCTCTTAAACTTGTATCTCACCATCTCAATTTATACTTTTATTTACAAGATTTAAAATGTTAAAAGACCGTATTTAATATTTGTTCAAGGGTCAGTGGCTTTTTCATTTAGGATACAAAATTTTGTAAATATATTCACATGTTCTGTACAACTTTCGGGACCACAGCACCACTGAATTAGTAACATTTGATATTGTATTTCTGTTTCTTCTACCACAAAATGAAAACCATACACAAAAACTATAAATTTATGAAAAGATACTGTTTTATCACCTCCATTATGAAGAGCTTTCACCTAAATCTACATGCTTAAAAAAGTAGAACATATTCTCTGAAAGGTTGAACAAAACAATCAAACACAACAAAGTTCTGCAGATCAAACATACATTTCAACACAGAACAAGCGAACTTACACTTGATTTTTTCTTTAATCAGTATTCCAAAGCCAATCTTAATCACTATAAATTAGATCTAGTTTTCCCACTTTAAATTGCAAACTAATGAGTAACAGTTTAAGAACAACGCACCAGCTTAATATAACTCTCGCCAGATATAACTAGTCAGATTTCCAGCGATGATTTTAAAAATATTGCGATGATTTTCCTGTGATCATAAGGATCAGCTATATACTTGTATATTCGCAATCTCTTTCTGAATAATATTGGATAATTTAGTTTGCAGAATGTTTTCGCAGCACTGTTTAGGAAACAGTCAGTCTCTTTACAAGAGAATCTATCTAGAAGCAAACTCAAGTCACTTCAGAGCTATATTGATTTGGACTGGTATAGACATTCTTTTAAACATCCAATATGGTATCCTAAATGTCTCCGACTCATTGTTATTATTTCCCTGATTCTTAACTCCTTCTATAACATGTCACAACTAGCGCTGGCATCCATTACATTAGGTTTTATTCGCTAGTTTTATTCTCCCATATATTATCTTACGACACAAAGCTTTTCATATTGTAAATCTATTGACGGAGTACGCATATAAAGGAAGATACTGCGGACAAATAACGATTATAGATCGAAACTAATTCATCGCTATTATGCAACATTTTGAGAATTGACAATGATGCTTTAGGTGATAAAATACATAATTTAACATTGAAGTTGGAAAATAATCAACCTTTTCTATTGAATTGCGAATGTTATGTCTGCCTCCCTTTACTTATAATAGTTTTACGCGATAACATCTTAAAATCTGTAAAATACCTTGAAAACAATTACGAGCCTTCAGATAATATTGCAAAATAATTTTCTAATCTTAATATATCATCTTTTCGAACTTGCGATGATACATTTCATTGATGAAAAAAATGAAAACTTATTGTTTAAGTGATTAAATCTGTATTTATATGCTTTTCAATTATAAATCAATTAATAATAGATTAATCAGATATTTATTTGCCAACATCTGCAAAACGACAGCTTGTCTCGGTGAATTCATTGTTAGCTTGTAAACCCAGTAAACAAGAGTTATCTTCCCATGTCGTAATTAATATCATATTTGCACGATGAATTGTTTAATTTATATCATTTTCTATGCAAAAAAAAGTATGTATTTGTTTAATTATTTTATTTAGAAAAGAAGTTTAATTAAAGATTGAGTGATTATACTCAATAGCCAAAACCGTAAAGCTTAATTAATAAACTATGATTTCGCTCAGTGATTAATAGTAATCAACATAAAGTTACCTTAACTGAACTGTGACTATTATATAAATGTGCATCGCCACAAAAAATGAGGTGGTAATCATAGAAAATGAAAATTAATGTTAAGATAATTTTTTGTGAAAAGGTGTGTGTGGTTTGCGAGTTGGAACTTTGATTAAGGTAACTCATTTAAATTAGTTCCTTGAATTATCCCAAAAACTGATAATGGACAGTTCAAGCAAGCTTGACAAGTCCATCATTTAAGAATTTAGGGCTGTCAAAGATACAGAAATTCTTCATTAAAAGTTCAAATCAGCCATACAAATTAAGTCAAAGAAATAGTTAGTTCAGCTATTTTCTTTTAGTTAAAGACTGCATGATCTAAAACATTAATGAAATAACAGTAGTATTTACTAAATGGTTTACAAATATAATTAATACAAGTATTTATATACCTGTTCTAAACCAGAGCATGTATAATGTATATGTCCAATAAATTACAGCATATATATGTCCGATAAAACTGGATGTCCAATAAATGCAAACCTAAGTGGTAGAAAGCTTGGTTATAAAATGATCAGGATAAATTAACTGGTGGATATAAAGTAGTTTTGACTTAAACACATTAACCCTGTATCAAGTTGCTGGGACTGAAACTTGCTCTATTTACACAAGAAATAAAACCACCGAGAGGTCATCTCTTGGCCACTATGGGTAAAAATTTGGAGGGAAAGAACACTAATGTCTTCTGCTGTACTCATTTTAGCTCTAAATATTTCCTGTTATATCAGAATTATTCCTAGCTTAGCAGAATTGCAGAAGTATAAGATTATACCCAGCCACCTTGCTTATTATGTAACAATTCTTGAGGAGAAAAATTTTGTGTAGCAGAATGAATATATTTATACCAGGAGGTTTTTTTCCACACATGTACACAATATGTACCATATTGCATGAACTTCTTCCATGTTTCTAAAAGCTTGAAAAACATGGGATGCTTGTTAAAGTGCCATCTGCTAATACTTTCATCTTCAATGTGATACAGATTTAGGTATTCAAAGAAAATTACCAAGAACTAATTTAAACTGTCTTTGAAATTTTGAAACTGTATACTATAACCCTTGCCATGCTAATTACGTAAAATATATCTTTAAATGGACTTTTCTGAACAAAGCTTTTTATTATTTTTGGGTTGGGGGAGGGAAGGTGGAGTATGGTTGAAGGGGATAAGGGGGGCTTTCTAAATATGTACCAATATCATTAAGGGCAGCAGAGCATATGATCAAGAAACAGCACAGTTTAAGTGCTGGCAGATTTTGGCTTGCACTGGTCACATGAGTAAAATAAGTTGCCACCAGCACTTAAGGTTTAACTTATTACAGAGCGGGTATAAAATTTTAGTAACCATATTAAAACTGAAATTTTTTATCAAATTTTTATATATCATCTGGTAACAGTGGTTGAGTTTATTATAATTGCTTTTCTAGTCACCAATGTGTCATTATAAAACATATGAAAATTTTATGTAACTGTCAAAAAGTTTACAAAGTATAGCCATTATGTAACATAACAAATTAATGGCCTACAAAGTTATTACTTGTAAAATAACAAAGTCACTACATTAAATAAATTATATAGCTTTAATACAATTGTAAATCAATAATAATTTATTAAAATTGTATATACACATGTTATATTGTAGAGTGTGTTTCTTTTTTGTAAATATATATTAAATTTAATTGTATTGTTTTTGAGACTTTTTCTATTAATTGGCAATTTAGTATACTGTATATAAAATTTATTAATACTGAATATAGAATTTTTTAAATTCTAATGTGCTCAGGAAGCTAAATGAAGCTAAAAAATATAACATCCTCAGATTCATTCCTGGATCCACCAGTATTAGAAACAACGGCTCGCGTAGGTCTTACAGGAATGGTTCTGAACTCAGTCGAACATACATAGTTAAATCATCATTTTAATATGGAAGTATGTGATGCAAATATGTGTGACAAAAGCTTATGTGATGCAAGTATGTGTGACAGAAGTATATGTGATGCAAGTGTGAGGCATAAGTATGTGTGATGCAAGTATGTGTGACATAAGTATGTGTGATGCTAGTATGTGTGATGCAAGTATGTGTAACATTAGTATGTGTGATGCAAGTATGTGTAATATAAGTATGTGTGATGCAAGTATGTGTGATGCAAGTATGTGTGACATTAGTATGAGACATTTGAACTTTTCTAATTAGCAACTCTAATATTATATAAGTGACACTTAATTGGATGCCACATGTAAACTTTTCCTTAAAAAGAGCTCTTAATTGATATAGACTGACACTTACATTATGACTACTAATGATATAGTTTACTGCAATAGTGGGGTTTTTTTGTGTTTTTTTAGTAAGTAGGCGAACTATATAAAACAGTGCATCTGAACATTTGCATGAAGTAAATACTTATCTACATAAACACAATATGAATTGCATAATGATCAGTGGCGAGTGTGTATATATATACTATGAATGTATAATAAAAATGAAAGAAAATAAATGATAGTATCATACTAACAAAAAATGTTGACACTTTTGCAAGCTAAAGGACCATGCAATTTTCTTAATACAGTTTAACAATTAAGATACGTTAATATAAACACAAAAACCCAACCAATTAAACAGTATTTAAATGCGTAATTCTTCGTGATTAAATAACGCAGTCAACAAATATCATTACAACTTAACTTCAATGATCATACTTGCCTTCAGGAAAGAGTGTGAATTGTGGAAATATAAATATATATATACTTTATGTATCAATATAATTATATTGAAATTAAAAAAAAAAGGGAAAGTTTTATAAACACAGATAAAGAAATATTCATTTTCACATACCTCTTTTAACTATATCATAGTCAACACAAAGGAACTTCAAAGGTTAAATTCCCCGTCCTTAAAAACCACTTTTGGATCAATGTTAAACTTTTATACATTAAAAGTGTAGAAAATGTATAAACTTCCCTTGTAAATTAAAACTTGTAAATGCACACAAAGCCAGAGGTTGTGTATCAAATATATAAATAGTACACTATGAATGAGTTATCTTAAATAAAGTCCTGAGTATGACCTGTATTTAATATAAAGGAAAAGAGAAAAATATTCAGCCATTGAATTTATGACTCAGTGTTAAACAGATTTGTACAAGTTTATAGCTGGGTCTTCACTTGTTATAAAGATTTTTAAACGTTAAAACTACCATCTGCTAATATCTGCCGAGGAAAATCTTTGTTTAGTGTTTCTCTGAAGCTTAAAGATATTTTTAGAAATTATCGAGTGTAAATTTTTCTTTTTTCTTGCCAGAGCATCATTCGGAAAAATAACTATTGAAAAAAAAACACAAACCATCGAGCTCTCCGTGTATGGATTTCAAGTGCTCCAACCACTAGGCTGTATTATAATCAACAAATTTTATTAGTGTTATTTCCGAATATTGAGAAAAATTATCCATGTTATTATCGAGTGAAAATTGACTTCGTCTAAAGAAGAAATAACGGGAGAAAAAAAAAGACGGGGATGCTTTCTCTTAAAGCTTTTTTAAAAACGGCTGCAGCCCAGTCTGTGTCAGATATCATTACTGTTATTAGATAATTAAAAGTTTCCAATAGACGAAGGTTAAACTATATTATAGAGGAGGATATAAATATTTCTACAGACAAAAATTATTTTCCGACTGATGTAATATTTAAGCAAGATGTTGTAGTCAGTCTTTTAGAGGTGACAAATTTCCACTGGAAAAAAGATATTACACATATTTATGTCACATATAGTATCAAAAATTAAAGCCTCCACCCAGTTCTGCAAAATCTATAAAACTTTCTTGAATGGCACCTAGGGATGACATTAAACTTGGAGGGGGGGGGGAGGCAATTCTAAAAGTACCAATGGTGCAGGTTGTTAATTAAATGCCGGAATAAGTAATTGCAAGAACAGCAGCAGAGTATTTTACAGTCATAGCTAACTAAGGTTTTAACAGGTGGTCATCTCATAATAAGATAGTAAATGTATATATGTATAGCCATAGAAATAAAATGAAAAAGTTCAATTACAGCAAACTAATGGATCAGTTATTGCAGTGCCTTCTATAATTTATAAGAACTCCGCTACTACATGTAGTTACAAATTTATGTAATTCTACTGAACTGATGAATATTGCAGCTGATCAATTTAGAGCTCTGTTGTTGATCCTGATGTTCATTTTATATCTGACTGAAACATCAATTATAAAAGTTGACCAAGACTTAGTTAACTTAAAGATAAATATATAACCCCTCTTAGAGGATTCTTTCAAGCTGAAGGGAGAATCTTTATATTAACTGAATCTGGTCATAGGAACAATTGTAGAATCATCAGCAGCATGTGCAATATGACTATGTGATAATCTATGTAAAATGAAATAATTATATCATGTACAACTATGTCATGAAACGGTTTTATATTTATACAATCTCAGAACAGTACAAAATGCAATGCAGCATTTTAAAAGCCTAAAAGCCTGCATTCTCCCCTATATAAACTTGAATAGAAATATATGCCAGGTAAAAATAACTGTTACAAAGATCAACTTGTTATTTCAGATTGTGCTGAATTTCAGTTTACTAGAGAGCATATCTGCATTTTAGGTTACCATTTAGTTACAGGTATTATATATAAAGATCCAACAAAAAGATAAAGGGCTTATGGTTTTACTGCTTATCAACAATATTCCTATATTAAAGCTGAAGAATGGTAGTTTTCAACCATACAGGTGGATTGTTAAATATGATTGTCAACATTATTTTATGTCCATCTGTATGAATTAAACAATCAATCAATTATATGAATTTATTGTCAGAGAATTTCTTTAAATGGAGAGTTTATGTAACATCTGTTGTTATACTGAAACTGAATGTAAAAAGCTCTGAATAATTTATTATAATTTACAAAAAAAAAAAAATAATGAGATAATTTAATTTATCGTTTAAAAAAAAAAAGATTTTTTTCACATAGAAATATAATTGAATTTAGTTAGATAGATTTATTTTTGGTATGGAATACATACGATTATAATACATGGACATTAAAAACAACATGTATGATACAAATATATAACATGAGAATAACTAAGCCATGATATTCACACCAACACCAAGGATGTAGCACACAAAAGAGAAACTCTTATTTCCATTGTGGTCCCTTATAATGTAACAGTTCTTGATCTAATTTATTTCCTTTTTTTAAAGTACTTAAATTTAATTTAAGTTCGTAAAAATTGGGTAAAAGTGCTCATTTGGTGATTTCAGTTAAGTTTAAAGCAAGGATGATATTATGTTATTGGGAGAAAATAAATATTGTATAAAGAACATTCATCATACACACATTCATAATATACTAGAGAAAACATGACATTGACTTTCTCACATCTGTCACTTTGTTTAAATGATTAAAATGAGCAGAAAAAAACTTTCTATTTCTTTTGAAACATGTAAGATAGAGGTATTATTACAATCAAAACTACCTTATAAATGTATATACAAAAACTTCTGCCTTTTTGGGATAATATAGCACAATAACTTATTTCCTGTATAAAATAATACAGCAATATATCTTTAAAATCATTATAAGCTCCAATAATTGACAACAATCTTTTGTTACATAGTTTTACAAACAAACAACACTGCCTTTAAAACATCAGACACTTTCAATTAGTATATAGATGCATTCTGTTTAAATAATGCCAGCCTGCCCTACAATATTGCAAACTAACTAACTGCCTTGTGCTATCTTCTGCAAGTGTTTTATAAGTCAAATCTTGATCTATTTAGCAAGAACCTTACCATCCTATGCTTCCACATAAAACAGAACATCAAAATCCAATAGGCAGATAGAAAATATCTTATGAAATTTGTAAATCAGTAAACACTAAAAGGCCCTATTAAAAGTTAGTTGCTTCAAATATTGACAGATGACATCCTTTGTTAAAAGTGTCAAATACGAACGGAAAACATGAAAATTTACCTGTATAAAAACCACTGCTCCGAAATCGTGTAAGCCGGCAAACAAAGGAATTCAGTATTACTTGTAAATATGTCGGATGAAATTATCCGAATGCGAGAGCTATAATGTAGTCAATATATGCACAGTGGTTTCAAATTAACTCAGAAATCAGAATTGTTTGCACTCAAAAATCTCCAAGAAAAACTTGCAGGAACTAAAAAATTTTGGTACTAAACAAAAGCTCTAAGTTTTTGTGATCGTATACCGATTTTATATTTGGAAAATTGTTTTAATGAGGTCGCCAAGCGTGAGTAAATAAGTAACGCGTTAAGTAGGAAAATGATAAAATTTTCAACAAGAAAACAATGTTACGGGGGATCAATCGATGTGAATCACTAAAAGGTCTAATTTTACCATCAAAAAAGTTTATTTATATGCCATCAAATATATAAACGAGTACATAGGAAACATATGTTGCGTATGTCAATAATTGTGTAAAAAGTTTGAAGTAAATAAATAATTAAATACCTTGTATATATCCGATCTTTTTCCTCGTAGGATATCAGTAATGAATGTAACGGGTTTCTACTGAAGCGCAAAGGAAGATTTGTGACGTCACATCATACTGCAAACAATAAATATAGAAAGCTTCGCTCGCTGAAATTAAAAACATAATTAACGCGACTGGGTGTATTTATTGTGAAAATAAAATCGTGCACCTTGTTTACAGCTTGAAATGCTATTTAAAGGTGACTGTTTGTCGGGATTCAATGCTAATTGAGTTAGTCTAATTGTCGAATAAATGATATAGATCTATAAATTCTCTTATTATTTTTCTTTAAGAATTGAAAAAAAAATGATGCAGAAATCTAACAATACCTGCTATAATATTACTAGACCTTGGTACACAATTCAGTGGCTGAAAAAAATTCAATTTAAACTTAATTAATTGGCAATTGGAGAAAATAAAATTGAAATTATTAATTTAAAAAAAAATGAAAATATTTGCATTTTAAGCTTTTTTCGCGAGTATTTCAATTATTAAGTGAAGGTATTTTAAAACCAAATAAATACAAGTACATTGTAACTTTAAATTACGTGATCGTTACAGAATTCTACAAATTTGACAGGTGTGTTCGACCACTTTGTATACAAACAAAAGCACGTGTGGCTAAAAATAGCATATCCCACGTGCCAAAAATATACATGTATGTCGGGTTTACTTTTTGACAGTTTATCACAAGAAAACAATGTATTACTTCGCCCTAGAAGCTAACAGATCGGATTCCTATAATTTTGTATAAACCTCACTATGTCAGATGTAAAACACTGCAGACGCTTATTTAGAACGCGCGATGAGATTGTCGATTTTCTTTGTAGTTCATCGCGGGATTACCGGACTATTCCATTTTGCACATAGGGGCGTTGCTGTTTAAAATAATGCGAGTGAATAAAGGGAGAGAAATACGATAAAAAAATCGTTGCTGAATAAAAAACAGCTTAAGTTATGTTCCTTAGACCACAACGCTTAATTTGCCTTGCTTAATTGTATCATGATCCCTTTGACTTTGTCCTTTTTTAAATTAATTATTTTTGCAGACTGGTTTTAGTCCTTTAAGTCGAAAACCTGGAATAACAGAGTAAACACTTTTTAATTTTAAACAGCCAATTTCGATTGATATATAAATAACATTTTACAATTTTATCAAATAAATCATTTTCAAATTACAATATTTCAATTAACAAATACTTTGATCTTTTAATAAGCAAATATGGGATATAATTATGCAAAGACGTGGATAAAGGTTTGCCCACTAGTTTAATTCTTATTATTTTTTTTTGCATCTGGAAACAAACAAAGTTTTATAGAATGATTAACTAATTTATAGCCAAAATGTCTGATATACTACTTATTAACTATGATTTTGCACAGTAGTAACAATCAACATAAGTTATCTGAGATGAATTGTGACTACATGTATTTGTGCATGGAGGAAAAATAAAATGACATAGAAATGGCTTGTTTATATGCAATCAGGT